CGCTAATCGCCTACAGCATCCGTCTCGCTACGCACCTTTACGCCGAACATCTTTTAGATCGCGACCATTATATGGACTGGCTAGTCTCTGGCTTGGAAAATAGTAACCAAGCTAAGCTTCCTATGTGGCTTTTGATTATTCAGATATACTGGAAAGATATCCTCAAATTAAGGAGACATGGGCGACGATTAGTTAACGCTATTCTCTCCCATCACTCCTCTGTATGTCCCCTTTATAATGTTCTCAACTCAACCAGCTAAACTTATGAGTAGATATATTACCACCCCGATCGTGACATATTACTCCCTCTTGCGACGCGCTTACAGGCTTTGGTAGAAAATCTACTTCTTACGAGCCCGGAAAATTTTATCTGCCCCGGAACTTGGTTGAGGTTTCGCGACTCGTTAGTCGAAGTTCCCGGCTTGAGTACCAACGAATCTAGATCGAAGGCGCTTAAAGCGATCGACCTTCGCAATGACTATTTGACGAGCTCCAATGCCAAATCGCAACCTGCTCTCCGAAGCATAGTGGTGCAGCTACTCGACGGCATACATCGAACGCCCCTCGACGATGCGATCCCCAAGCAGCTTTGGAGAACGAGCGAGAACAAGTTATCCATAGTAAGGACCATCTTGGAATGGGGTACTTCGCTATACCGACCTGGGGTTGCAAAGGTCTATATTGCCACAACGCTCCTTCGTTCGTCTTCAGACTTTGATATCGATGTCACCAGGGCTGTCCTGGACTTTTTAGACAACGATCCACTCCAAGAGAACGCTAGAAAGCACCTCGTCTACCATGTTGTGTCGGAACTTGCTCGATCGGGCCACTTCTTGGTTCCGCAGTATATCCAATGGCTCATAGCCCGTGGTGGTCTCTTGAATGCTACGCAAACGATGCCAGATGGACCATGCGTCACTAGACTTCTTGTCGAGATTCCCATCCACTCCCTAAATGAGTCTATGAGAAACCTAAGGGCGACCCTGCTACGAAGGGTATCATTCTCGATAGAGGACGAGGCAAAGGACATTGCGATGGCAATAAGCCGTGTTAAGGGCACGCTTTCCATTCCCCTAGGGCCCGAAGATATTCCCTTAAAGAGAAAGCCGATGAGCCTAAAGAAGCTATCGAAGCTAATCGAGTCAAGCAGCCGTTCTCTCAAGGCGACTATTTCCTCGTGGCTTAGCAACGACTTCGTCGGCGGCTTTGCCCGAAATTTGCAGTCAGGTAAGGGTGGCATGGAATTACCTAAGACCATATTTGAAACGGTTCGGACGCTACTCGAAGCCGCCGAGGATTACACCATGCTTGAAGATGTGTTAAAGCTGGCTGCGCCATGCTCTAATGCCGAACTACTCGCATGCTGCACCGATACCATTAACCTTCACCTGCCGGTATTTACAGCAACTGGCGCGGCTAAGCCGCTCTTCCAGATACTTTATGACCGGCTTAAGGTTACCTTAGAACAGCAAGGCGTAGGTGCCCGGCCGCTGCTTGCCTCTCTTGCCAACCTGGCGCCACGTTTGACCGGCTTGGAGGACGTGTCAGCGCAGTTGCAAAATGACTTGCTTCGGTTAGACCGTAGTAGTGCTGCTGACGCCTCATCTCCGCTATCTGACAATATGGCTACGCAGCTCCAAGACGCCGAGACAGAATTAAGCGAACAGATAGAGAAGCTTGCCACTTACTCGAGCGCCGATAAACGAACGATGGAACATCTATTCTATGCGATCGCGAAAAGGCTACAGGCTTACTGGGGCAAAAGGGACGAACGCCAGCGGCTCTGTTGCATCCTGCTTATGAGACTACGCGTATTCGATATTCACCACTTCAAGGAGCTTATGAGGGATTGGGTTCAGCATATTCGCAGGTTGCCAAATCGGCGACCTATCGCCGAGCTTTTCCCGCCTCTCTTCAGCTCAGGCTGTCTATCTCTTCCCATCCTATTCGCGAGCGCTACGAGGATACGAGGTCAAACTACGCAGCTTCCGAGGGCCCAGGGATTTGCTTCTATTTACATGCAGGAAATATTGCAGATGTTGATGACGCCGTTTAGTCCGAGCCCAATCATGACTTCGGAGGACTGTTACCGCTTCCGCATCGTTCAAGATCACGCTAGGCGCGACCATGCGAAAGAGTTAATGCCCCTAATCCGCGAAGCATTGGCGGAATATTCGGAGTCTCGCAATCAACAAGCAGCAGTCGAGCAACCGCTTGAGGATGAGCAAACTAAGGATCGCCTCCTCGAGCTCTTCCGAGACTTAGTCCTTGTTGATCCGAATGCCGCCAGTCGAGTGGTTTCGCTAAAGAGTTCCGAACCGAAATTAGCCGCCCTTATCGAGAGGTGGACTACGAAGTTGCTAGTTCCCCATGGGGGTGGCGGGCAGAAATCATTTGAGCAGGTTCTGGAGCTTGCAAATGAATTTACCTTGCCTTTCTGTCAAGTCAAGCTTTCTTTAAACCTTGCAATTGACGAATCGAGCGGCCCAGAGGCTTCGGAGAGGCTTCAATCGCAATTCGAACAACTGTCAAAGGCCCTTGATAACGCCATTGACGCCAACAACATTATGTGGACGGGCATGCTACCTTCTCTAAGTGCTGATATTACGCAGCACATGAGGAACCGGGCGGAGTCACGCTTTCTCGACATCATTCCGTCTCTCAAGAACCCCCCACATGATAGCCTATCTAATAAGGGCATTCATATGGCTGAGAATTTATTAACAGTCATCGACTCCATCTTCCGCGGAGGATCAGGGTCAAAGGTGTCTCCATTATCCAGCGCTTTGGTAGACAAGCTCGCCGACCTGTGGGATATCCTGGCCTCCAGGGCCAACGAATATACTTCATTGAGGAGTGCTGTGCTCTCGCATTGGCTTCCACTTCTCTTCTCTTACCTAACACTTTACACCTCACCATCCGCGAGTGCAATAGACATATCGAAATTGCCTGGAGGCGAAATCCGCGGTCGCGCTTTAATTGTCCTCGCCGGCCTTGTTCAAGAACTCGATAATCATCCGTCTTTAAACCTTGGGCAACAGGCTTTCGATATCGCTCTCGCACTCGTTGATAGCTTATCCGAAGAGGCGCGCCTATTATGCGTCCGTGCGGTGAAAGATACCACCGCAGACCCTAGACTCAAGTATCTGTTTAGCTTCGCCCCAAACTCAGCCGACGATTTCATGTTAGCCCATCGCGACAAGCCACCGTCGGGAATCCAAGAGAGGAGAGCGATGGCTATGGGCATGGGTATGAGCATGATACCCGAAAGGCTGACTCCTTTCGTCTTCAGGAGGTGGGAAATCCTCAACGAACCCACCCCGAACGTGGGCGAGAACGACACAAGCTTAAGCTTGACGCTATTCGACGCCAGGAAGATCAAGTAATACGGTCTTCGAGAGAGCTTATAGGCTCTCCTATTTCTAATATCTCTTAGCATGTATCGATAAGGGAGCTCGTCACTACCTAGGTATCGACCAGCCTGTCGAGAACCTTAGCTATACAACTTCAACATTTGATACCGGAGTCATTTTATCATTATATATCCACTACTACATACGGCCTACGCCACCAGAGCGGAGAGGGCTTTCCACCAGCTTCCGCATTTTCTTTTTTTAAAGTATTATTTGCTGTCTTTAGTCTTATCATCCCGGGGCACTCACGGCATTCACGATTATCACGCATCTGCTGAGCTTTTTTTATTTTGTTTTTCCGAGGGTGTTCTTGCTTTTTTGCCCCAAAGCGCGCGACGCGCGCGCGTTTGATACCTGGGGCAGGAACGACGCATTTCCGAACGGGCGCTTGTTTTTTTTTTCGGAAGGGGTTCAGGGGTACGGGCATGGGATCGGGTCGGGCGGTTGGTTTCATATCGTTTGGGCGCGTGGCTGCTGCGTTGTTATGCGGTGCGATGTGTATAGAAGCTGGGGGTCGGTGGTGACGGGTGTAGTGCGAAGAGAGTAGTGGGAGAACAGAAGAGCAGAGTAGTGGGAGAACAGAAGAGCAGAGAAGTGAAGTGAAGAGAGAAATGCATCGAAGTTACTTCATGTTGCTGCTGTGTTGTTGCTGTGCTGTCCGATGTGCTGGCGTGCGATGTGACTGTGATTGTGAGACGGCGGCGTAGATGGCATGTGCCGGGGCCGGAACGATACGCGCGAATGGGGTAATGACTTTTGAGGCCTCGGAGAGCTAGCTGTTCGCTGTGCTCAAGTCTTGGTTTGGGAGTTGGTCGTGTGGACTGGATGAGAGTGCTTTTGCGGGTTTTGGTTCGGGTTCGTACGGTGCTTGTTTTTTTCTTCTCTTGATTTATGAACATATACATAGGTAGGTATCTTACCATGGTATAGAAGATTCGACGGAAGGGGGAGGGGGTGTGGGTGTAGGTGCAATAGTCCGAGGAAACTTGGCTAGTTGGATGGTATTTATTAGTAGATATATAGGTAGGTACTAGAAGGATGACTATTGGATTCTGGAGAAGGGTATTTCGCATAGAATATGACTATCGTTGATGAGTGTCTTGACTACTGTGATGATGTTTAGTTTCATGGATACGATATGGAAATTAGGTAGGTAAATGACATCTTATAAGTCACATATGGATATATGTATTTGAAGATATCTAGGTACCTAAGGTGGTGTCTAGAGATATTGAAGATACTACCTAAGATTTTGGTCCGCACCACGGCGTTCAATGTCTCGTTATGTATATACCTAACATTACATTAGATACCTATCAACCATCCTCTTCTACAGGCATTTTATAGTTCTCATAGGAAGTCAGTATTACTTTTTTCTACCTCTTCGGCACTCATGCTATGAGCCACCGAGACTACCTACGTAGAATCCACGACAGACAATGACCTCGCGGTACGATCATACTACTGGATCTTCTAAACTAAGTAATGTGGAGCAGAAAACTTTTACACATAGGGCTCAATGAGCCGCCGTTTTCATCAACCAATCAGTCGTCTTCTCTTCAGAAGCGACTGGACAACATCATAGAGGGTCTGGTGGTCTAGTGGTATGATTCGCGCTTAGGGAGAACCTACAGCATCGCTTGCGCGAGGTCCCGGGTTCAATCCCCGGCCAGACCCAATCCTTTTTGGCCATTTCGACTTCTGTCTGTTGTTGTTTGTTTGTTTGTTTGTTATTGCGGAAGCTTCCCTTTTTTGCGGCGATTTTGGTACGATGGGGTTGTGGGCGTGTGTGGTGGGTGCGGGAAAGGGGCTAACTCTAGGCTCCGCACTTAGGTTTTTTGGGAAAGGGGCCCACAGATGGATAGTTCACTGGTGGACTACATATTCGTACCTACGATAACCGCGGCGATATTTCATTCGACGGCATTATATGGGACAAGAGTGTTCGGGCTGCGTCTTGGGAGATGTATAGGCTATTTACAAGTTTAGAGGAACTTGTTGTTAAGCTAGTCGATTTGGGAGACTTTAAAGTGCTGTTATGATTGTTCCTCTTAAATGTGTAGCAAGGCATAGACTTCAATTATCTTTGATAGATTTCTTCGTATCCAAGTAGATGCTGGCATGTATTCCAGAGTATTTGACCACGGAAGAACGAGTGGAACTTGGTCGTGATTTAATGCATCAATACTCTATTCTTCCTAAACAAATGCATGTACAGAGGACTTATATGACAATGAGCCCCGGATCCATCAAGATTGAATTAGAGGTATAAACTTGACCATTTGCGTCGAGATGATTATCTAGGTAGGTAGTTAGATAGGTAGGTAACTTCAGAAACTTGGTACGAAAAGAAATATTATTTCGCTTCAAGATAGACGCACAAGTTGTCAAAAGAGGCAACGAAGGACGCTTGTGTTATAAAAGGGAGAGTTTTTTCCTTCGTTATGATGCTACCTTAAGTTATTATCCCAGACATATGGCCACGGACATGTTTACTCGCTCGATATGATGACTGGAGAGTTAATATTGATACATAAGATAATAATGTATCTCGTGGTACTTAATACCGTATGCTGTCCTAAATTCGAAGAATTTAATATAGACTCGACTTGACTTTTGTCAGTAATCCCCCCCTTTTCTTTTAACCACAAAATAAATATATGTGGCATTTGGCGTGAATCTTTGTCTTAACGTAAACTATTGATATTTTTGATCGTGGCTTGTTATTAGGGGTAAGAGTACCTAGGGAAAGTGATAAAAGAAAAGGGGAGTTACGATGGATATGAATTTCAACTTTAAGTGTAATAGCAATGGCGTGTTTTCTAGTACGTTCACATAGCCTATTGTCATCCGCGACGTATGAGTACATACCTATAGTTGTTTAAGTTAATGGTTTTATATGATACGAACTTGAACTACCTGTACAATCTCTTTCCATAACTTATAGCGGAGCGTTATGTGATTGGTATCGGTGTGGCATATTTGCTTCTATAGTTACATATGTAGGTACGTAGGTAGCCTTATTATAAGATTACTTATAAACCAAGTTGCTAAGTTTATATTCGTACTTATATCTAGGTCAATCATAAGGGTTCATACCAAGCGATGCCCATGTAATATAAATATTTAATCAGTTTTACTTACTAAACTGCTCTCATCGATGTGACATGCAACCGAGTAAACCCCCGTGTGGGAGCAAAGTTACTCAATTCCTCACTGTAATGTGTTTAACAACATCTTGGATCGCGTAGGCTAGACCAATATGATCTCTCTATCTAAGCACGGAGAAGACAGCGTATTTGGAAGGTGCTTTCGGTAAGACAGAGCGGTTCTGTGGATATGAGAAGTTTGGAATATGTAATTCTCATGGGTCTGATCTAGCAAAAGCTGTCATCAAGTACCTACCACTGAATGAAATAAATCGTAAGAAACTACGCATCAGTCGAGGGGGTTATACGGCTATCTCGGTGTCTACGGAGACATCGTCTTCTAATAGGGCGAATAGGAATACCTTCACCAACCACATCCCCAGGCCAGAATTCCAGTCCGCAAGCGCCAAATAAAACCCTTCAAACGAAGTAAAAAGGCCGCATCTACCTATGTAAGTCATTCACTACCTACCCTAATTTCTAGCCCTAAACACATCCACCTACCTAATAAGAACCAGCCTTCAAGCATCGTAGACCGCTCTCTCGGCTCCCCGGCAAGCCAGCGCCAAGCGAGCCCGCCGTACCTTGCATGCGCACCTAGCAGATGACATACATACATAATCCTACATAACGAGTTAGGTTAGGCTAGGTCGCATAAACCAGGGGAGCCGCAAGACAGGGGTCCGAGACGACCCCGTTTCTTTCTGGAACGAGGCTTCGGCTCGCTACTGCGAAATCGTCGGTTTGAGATTTCGCTAGGCTGGCCCGGGCTAGGCTGAGCTAGAAAATTTCCTCCTCGCTGCGTATCTCGCTTGCAACACGAGGGACCCGAGATTTGCTGGTCTGTGGTGTCCCCCCTCCCCCAGCTCTGCTGGTGGGAAACTCGAGATCTGGATTGCGCCCTTTCAGCTACCCCAAGATCTCAAGCCTGAGAAAGTTAGGTGTTCTTTTCAAGTTGGAATTCTACGAAGTTCATCATATCACGATTCACGAAAGACAGATGCAGATATTCACAGAAGACACTAAGTATTAGTTTCTAATATATGTGCTTCCCATTCCCTTCTAGCTATTTAGACTACCCACTCCATATCACTTCGATGAAAAAAGAAAAATAGATATTGGAAAAAACCAAGCCTCATGAAAATGTACACAGTCGGAGCTTTGGTGGTATGATCATTAAAAGGTATTGTCGTAGCGCCCGACCGCCCCGGGACTCTCTATTCTGCCACACACAGCGTGGCATTACATGAACATCGGCTACAAACGTCCGCGGCAGTAACGGAGAGCCATGCGAATTAAAAACAAGTTAGTATCGTCCCCCGGCAGAAACCTGCCGGGATGCCGTTTCAAATCATTCCTTCTCCTCGAGATCACAACTATGCTGCAGCTATGCAGGCTTGCTGTTGAGCTTGGCAGTCAGAAAGTTTGAAACTAGCACCAGCATTCGCCGCGTCGCTACAAGCGTTGTTTTGTATCTATAAGATAGTTAGAAACAGTTGGGAAACACCAAGGGACTTGGCTACTCACATCACAGGATCTCTGCGTAGCAGCCGCCTGGTTCACAAACGTGTTCCTACATAGACAAGTTAGCCGTGGCTCGATGAGAGGGGGAATAGCTATACTAACCCGTTGACAGCAAACGGCCGACTGGCATCTCCAGATTTTGTTACAGCTGGAGCTGCGCCGCCAAGATTTTTAGTCTGTTGGGTTGCGGTGTTAGCATTACCGCCAGTAGTAGTGCTTGTGTTCGATGTATTACTTTGGCCTTTGCCATTTTGCCCCTGACCTGCGGCCGCCTTAGCACCACCATTGGCGTTGCCGGCGTTCGCGTTGTTTCCAGCGTTAGCGTTGGCGTTTCCGCTGCCACCAACTGATTCTAATTAGCTTCTGCGCAGTCATAATTGTGATATGTGCTGAACTTACCAGTGAACTTGTTGCAGTCATCCTGAGCACCACGTTGAGCAACAGGCATAAGCACAGGCTGGTGGTTGGCCGAAGAGAACATGGTGCAGACACGGTAGTTTCCAGCGGGAAGTCCACCAGTGACGGTAGCCGATAGAAGTCCATTGCCGTTACCGGCGTCGTTGATACCCTTGAAGAAGACGAATTGCGTTGCGTCAAGAGGCTGAGTAGGGTTTAGAGAGTTACCCAAGTCCTGGACAGTAACGTGAGTGTGACCAATGATGTTTCCTTGGCCGTTAAGGTTCTGAGGCGCAGAGTAGTAGGTGTTGTCAGCGTTCGTGAAGGTACCGGCCTGGAAGTTGGCAACTTGGACCTGGATGTCGAAGTCCTGGTTCGCCTGGAGGTTGTCGTTGTGCTGGGGGTTTTGCAGAACGCTGGAAACCATGTTGGCTTGCGCAGGAATCTTACCCATGACTAATAGCTGTTAATCGCCATATTCGAATTAAGCAGATATATATGTACTTACCAATACCGTTGCAAGAGCCCTGCTTTTGTTGAAGACCGTTTGTCAAGGTCTGACCGCTACAGAAGTTGATGAAGTTGGCGTTGTCAGTGTCTGATGCAGCCTCTCCTTCCGCGGCGTCCGGGTCACCATCCGACTGCGAACCAGTCTGAACAGCGTTGGCGTCCAACGTCAACGAAGCCTGGGCGGCATTGTTGTTGCCGTTCTGAGCATTGTTGTTACCGGCGTTGGCGTTGGCGTTGGCGTTGTTACCGGCATTAGCATTGGCATTGTTGCCAGCATTGGCGTTGGCGTTGTTGTTGTTGTTGCCGGCATTCGCCTTCTGACTATTCTGAGCCTGACCTTGACCCTTGCCAAATTGCCGGGTGTTGAGAGCTCGGACGGCTCGTCGGTTCATAATCTGGTCGTACGGGCGGCTGATGGCGGTGGCCTCGGCGATGGCGGTGACGCCGAGAAGGGCGACGATAACACTTTTGGCGTGCATGATGGATGAGTTATACCTGAACTGATCGAGCGAGGGAAGTTGATTTCTCTTGGTAAGAATGGAAATGGTAAGATCCAAAAATGGTTCCAGACCGTTTTCGAATTAGCTGAAAGGAGTGGTCACAGACAACACTGAAGTGAAATGGAGCGGGCAGATCCCAAATGCTGTCGGAAGAATAGAACGAATGTAAAAAAGACACACTACCAGCGCATTCTAAATTGGAAAGAGAAAGGAATGAAACTCGATAGAGATTCTGAAATAAAGAATTAAAGCTGATGAAGAGGATGGGAGAAGAAAACATAAATGGCGAGGGCCAAGACTTTCCTGTTATATACTCCACCGATAGGAGACAGGCGTCTCGGACGGATTGTGCCTGGGTGCTAATGGAATCAATAGCATCCGCAACGAACACTACATCATGTTCCCTTGCAGGTTCCATTCACAGGAGCTGTATCCACAGTCTCAAAACGCGGACGGGGATGGGAGGGAAGAGACGATGTCAAGAATAATGAGAGGGACCCGGGCAGGGTGTTCAGGGTGTTCAGGGTGTTCAAAGTGTGGTAGCAGGGGTACGGGATGGACATCTGAGGCTTGAGTCCTTGGCTAGCCTTTACCCCTG